TTTCTTGTGTGTGCTTCTGAGTGTGAGGTGCAACTAAGGACAACCTGGGGTGACATTCTTCACTGTACATGTTAACCAGGTTAGGTCAGCTGGCCAGTGAGCTCCAGATGTGTCTCTGCCTCCTCAGTGTTGGACACCATGGTATATGATGAAATACAGTGAGCTCTGGCAACATGGCAAGTGCTCCTAGCCCCATTTTTGGTTTCAGTTTTGGTTTTTATAGATAAGACAGGTGTCTCTGCAGTGTGTAATGGGCCATTAGGTAGCATGGCTTGCGCCTCTACACTAAGGAACTCTGAGTGGCAGAGGACATCAGCAGGCTTCAGAAACATTGTGAAAACTGTCACTTAATGGTCTGGGTCTCCCAGTGACAAGTTCTCACCAGAGACCCCTGGAGGTACTTGTTACTGCCCTACCTGCCTTTGGGGTGGCCACCAGGGGCATCTGTGATATGTGGACCACAAAGGAGTCACAGCAGCGTACCTTCACAATCCATGAAAAGGAAAGTATTCTTTAGTGGCGAGTTTGGGGGCCAACTATTTCACCATATACTGCATTTTCTCTCTGAGAACGTCTCTGGGTGGGGAGGCACCATGTGGTCCGGTAGGAGCAGTCACGAGTGTAATTAAAATTGTTCAGACAGGAAGTAGTCATGCACTCACCCAACCTGGAGTGGGTCCTGCAGACCTTGCCCATCAGAGCAGAAAGCCCCATTGGACAGTGCTGATCCAGGGGCACACACATAGGCAATAACAGTCCTCTTTTGTGATATCCCAAAATACTCCCCTCCTCCCCTGCAGTCTCCTCCTGTGTGGTCCACTTGGGTCACCAGACACACCCCTGTCTTGCTCAGGGAACACTGCTTTGTCATGCCTTCCTTGCTAGCAGGCACAGAACCATGTAACAGTTTCCCCACCACCCCCTGTTGCTTCCCAGCAGCTGTGGTGTCTGATTAGCTTAAAACATGACCTGAACTGCCTTACAGTTCAAGTCTAGGTGTGAGGCTGGTACCTGGAGGCTTCAGGGACATACGCTTTGCTTTTCCAGCTTCATAGCTTCTTGCTTATATAACCCTGGGGATGCCCTGAGCTCACCAAGGTGACCCAGAGAACCCCCATCTCAAGTCTATAATCACATCTGCACGGTCCTTCTTAGAAGTCGGGTGCAGCTACTGGTTCTAGGGGTTAGGATGTGACATATACTGGGCATACTTTGCCTTCCACGCGTGCCCTCTGCATTGCAGGCCATTCGAGCACGCCGATAGGTCTGATGATTCAAGAAGGATGGGGACAAACTCGAACCCCCACCAAACATCCCTAAAACTATTCTCAGGGTTCCCAAGTCTGCATGGACCTTAAAGATAGCCAGAGTTTTAAGTGAAAAATCAAATCTCATGTGTATTTCTAATGCAAAGTGATTGACCAAAGTGGAACATGCAACAGGTCTCAAACACCTGCCGTAGGCCCAGCTCTTTCTGAGGGCGCTGTGGATGATCCGACTGCTTCAGCTACTTTAGGATAAAACATTGCCTTGGGGGGCTGGAGAGATGGCTCAGAGGTTAAGAGCACTGGCTGCTCTTTCAAAGGACCTGGGTTCAAGTCTCAGCACCTACATGGCAGTTCACAACTGTCTGTAACTCCAGTTCCAGGGGATCTGACACCTTCATACAGACATACATGCAGGCAAAACAACAATGAACAATAAATAAATAAATCCTTTTTTAAAAATTGCCTTGGATTTTCATTGGTCAGGTCTGCTACCAGGACAGGAGACCCAAAGAGAGACAAAGCCACAACTCAGAGGGTGACGCTAGAACCTGGATGAGGGCTGGGCTGGGCTGACTGGGCACCAGGGAAGGCTTCTGGAGGAGGAGTCCCAGATGAGTAGGAATAAAGTTACCTGGTAAACAAGTAGGGGACGACAACAACGGAAGATCCACTAAAGGTCAAAGTCCAAAGAGCACATCTCACTTGGAAGGTGAGAGGAGGGGTCCTAGCCAGAGGCCTGAAGGGCAGGGAGCCAGAACTGAAGTATGACCAGAAAGCTCTTGTCCTCTACCTATGCACACACACACAGAGCAGTGGTCACTTGGCCTCAGTGGGAACTTGGCTCTTTGCCTCCTGTAGAGTTAAGCTTAGTCACTGCAGGCAGAGGCCTGGGACAACCTCCCAGGACACAGATGGTCCCAGTGTTCAAGGTAGCAGAGTAGCCTCACCCTTCATCACTTACTATTGCAGGCTGACACCAAACTGCTGGGTGGGCAGAGGCGGCCGAGGTGGGGGAGTCTTAGTGGGAGGGGGCAGTTGGCCTTTGTGCAGGTTTTGCAGCTTCTCGTCATACCTGTGGACACAACAGGAAAAGTGTCACCTCACAAGGGGACAGCCTTTTGGCCATGCAAGCCATCTCCAAGTGCTACATGTGGGCCAGGCTTTGGTTGACATCAATGGGAAACATATATCCTCTGTCCCTTGTCTAAGTTTAGACATCCTGGCCGGGGTACTGCACCTTCAGAGAGAAGTGAGATGCTCAGAGTCAGACCAAGCTCAGGAGCCCTGCTGAAGCTGGAATACCTGGCATAGACCCGAAGCCAAGCAGGGCTCCTCTTCAGTTGAGATCCTGTTCTCTGGCTTGCCACAGACACTCAGTGAGGCATCCCGCAGGAGCTGAATGAAACTCCGCTAGCTGTCTTCCAGAGCCCCTGCGCCTGCCACTCCTGGATCATTTCATTCTACACACACAGCTCATCTGCACACCAGGGAACCCCTTTCATATCCGGCTCCGAAGCAGAACTGCAAACCTGTGCCTAAGCGTGTTTTTAATCAGTTTTGCACTGGCAGTGAGAAGAGTGAGCCGCCTGCCCACATGCAGCCATCACGGGTTGGTCTCCTGTGCATGTGTGTGGATACTAGACCCCAGAGCCATGCCTGGGGACGGTGGGCACTCACCGTATTACTTCCGGGGGGACGAGCAGCTGGTCGCACTGAAGGTGTTCTCGGAGCTCACGCAGGCTGCTGCAATAGGTGACTTTTTTCCCAAACTTGTGACTAAGGAAGGAGAAACAAGAGAATAAAATAATGAGGTGAAGGAGAAAGGGCTGCGGGAGTTGAGGCGCCGCCCATAAGACAGGCCATGCACTGAGACCTGCAATGGGCCAAAGGCCCTGAAGGCTCACCTGTATAAAATAGCTATGGGTCTCCAGTTTGAACTGGCTGTGAATTTACATAGGGCTGACAGCACAGGCGCCCTTGCTATGTGGAGTGGATGTGTGTGTCTTAAGTTTCTTTCCCTGCTGCAGTGATAAACCTCAAACAAAAGCAAGTTAAGGGAAGGTTTATTTTAGTTCAAAGTTCAAGGTCCAGTCCATCATGGTAGTGAAGTCAGGATAAGCAAGAGGTCCAGGCCGTCGTTCACATTATGTATGGGCCAGAAGAGAAGCCACACATGCATGCATGCTACTGGCCAGTTCCTCCTCTCCCTTTATGCAACCCAGGGTCCCCTGCCCAGGGAATGGTCCCACCCACAGGGGGCAGGTTGTCCCACCTCAATTAATAAGAATCCCTCCCCGGCATTCCCAGAGGTCCTTCTCCCGTGTGATTCTACATCCTGCCGGGCTGACCTTAATTATGTCTGTGTCAGGGCTCAGAGGGCCAGTGGACTGAGCTTGCCTGTCTGGACACCATGGTTCCAGGTGGTTTTGTGTTGAGCCTTCTTCCCTGCTCCCCAACCCCACACAGAGAAGGGCAGGGACCTTGGGAGACTCCCTAGGGGTGTCTGAGGAGTCCATGGGGAGACAGCATAGCTTCTGCCATCAATTCTATCTTCTCCCAGGAATCTGGGACAAGTCCTTTGATCTGCCAAGGCAAAGCCTGGGTCTCTCTGATACAAACTCTGAACTTGAGCCACTTTGCAGAATTGCGTGGCCAAAAAAGGCAAGTTACATAAAAGTTCCAGTACGGTATCATTGGAGATATGTTGGCAGCCTGATCTTTGTTGTGGCTCATAGTTGGGCACAGTGGCAACACTAGTTGGCATGCTAATGTGGATAGAAACATTCCACAAGTCCCCAGCTCTAGATGAAGGTGGTAAATGGTTGCTGAGAAAGCAACCATGGAAGAGCCCTTGTATAATTTGCCCAATCCCAAGTGGTCAGCTCTGGACATATCTATATGGGAACAACAAGTGTAATTATCCACGTAGTGTGTCTTTGGATATTATCATGTTTAGAATGCTTGATTTTTGAGAACTGCTATTTAAAAAAATCATTAAATGAGTTTGGCTTGAGAGTAGGACAGGATTTCCAACAATTTCTGAAATATATTTAAGCAGCCCCTTTCATATGCCACTTTCACTACACATTTATACAAAGTAGCGTTCTCATTGAGAGAAGTGATGATTATGAAGTCAGGACACTAACCAACTCTGAGGAAATACTAAAAATGCTATACCTGTTGTTTTATAGATATTCAGCTAGGACTCAGTTCTTCATGTAAAAACAAGGATATCCATCTTACTAGTATGTGACTTTGCTTTTGTCTTTAATAAATTTGTGGTATACAGTTTGTGTGTGTGTGTGTGTGTGTGTGTGTGTGTGTGTGTGTGTGTAAAGAACTGTTGAAAAATAATTTATTCATAAATTAAAAAACAAAAGGCAAGTTACATGTTCAGGAATGCCAGTTCGGCGGTGTTTAGAACAATGTTGAAAAATAATTTATTCATAAATTAAAAACCAAAGGCAAGTTACATGTTCAGGAATGCCAGTTCGGCGGTGTTTAGAACAATCTGTGTGTTCTTTACATTATAGATAACGTAGAATTAAGATTATCCAACTTACAACAGCCCAAACAAAACAAGACCTCAGGGATCGTGATAGATGGTACACCCCTGTGAACAGCGTAGAATTCTGGGTCCTGTGCCAACCCCAACCTAAACCACTTTCCACACCCAGGGGAGGTCAAGGCTTGTGCACTGGCTCCCTCTCGTGGACAACAGTGGATTGGACCTGGAAGCCAGATTTCAGCCACAAGCAAGGTAGTTAGTTTCACAGACTGCAAGGGTGCTATCAGAGAACCCGGTTGTGGAAGAACACAGGCCCTGAGTCCTGAGTGAGGAAGGGGTTAGAGCAGGTCCTGTGGGATGTCCTCACCACTTGTGCGTCCAGATAACAGACAACTCAGGAACAGTCTTGCCTCTGCTATGAGGACATCAAAGGTTCCTCTGGGGTATGAAATGCTGTTAATACTTAGGTTATGGACAAGAGAAGCCCACTGAGCCTACAAGGGGCCTAGCTGTTTTGTGGAATTGTCCAATGATGTCTGCTTCAGCACTGTGTGGTCCTCCCTGCCCACTGGGAAGCCACAGACACCCTTTCTCTGTGTAGTTGCCTGACAACTCTTGCAAGGAAGTCACCCTCTGGGCAAGTAGACATGACCCATCTGGCCTTTTACACTGTTGAAAGGACCTTGAGCAGCTCAGTCAGGAATTCCACCACAGGCATGGGGCAGGGTTTCTGTCACAGCCTCAGCTTCCAGGAGAGACTGAGTCAGGATGATTCTCAGGACCCAACTCAAGCCTGTGTGGGTCCACCCTTCATCCTATGATCTGGGTTCACTCTGTTGTTGGATCCCAGTCCTGAGTCCTTTACTGGCTGTGTAACCCGGGGAGACAGTATAACCTCTCTGAGCACCAGCCTCCCCTGTTTAGAAGTAGAGAAGGCTGGGCTGGAGAGATGGCTCAGTGGTTAAGAGCACCGACTGCTCTTCCAGAGGTCCTGAGTTCAATTCCCAGCAACCACATGGTAGCTCACAACCATCCATTATAAGATCTGTTGCCCTCTTCTGGTGTGCAGATATGGAAGCAGAATGGTGTATACATAATAAATAAAATCTTTAAAAAAAAAAGTAGAGAAGGCATGGATAACCACATAAGATGGTTTTGTGTATGTTACCTAAGGTAAGTAGATAATTCAATTCCAAAAATGATAGTTTAAACCATTCTAGAATAAATCAGGCAGGGTGCATGCCACATTCCATAGAATACCAGGGCAGTGGGGAAGGCAGGCTGAGCTGCAGGGCAGCTGAAAGTGAGGGATGAGGCTTGAGGTAATTCCACGCTGCAGCACTGCGAAGGAACTATTGATGACGATGAGGATGGATGTGTATATGAAGATGATGATGATGTGTGTGTGACAATGACAATAATGCTATGTGTGATGATGATGATGTGTGTGTGCATGCATGCATGTGTATACACATGCACACAGCAGTGAGAATGTGTGGAGTAAACACGTGCGTGCACACATCAGTGCAGGCAGACATTCAAGAGCATGTGGTAGTGTGGTCCCAGGGCCCTCAGATATAGATTAGTGGTCTACAGGCAGCATTCAGGGACCCAGGGCAAATTAAACAGCTTAAAATGGCAGCAGCGTACCCTCCATAGATCCAAGTCAGTGGGGGAGTCCAGGAATGGGCAAGACTGCAGCCAGTTCCTAGAGGTGCCCCTTGATGTGAGACTCCTGCCTCCATCTTCAAAGCCAGCAGTGCAGCATCTTTGAGCTTCTCTCCTGACATTGCTGGGAAAGGCTATCCATTAAAGACCCCAGAGACCACCTTGAGCCCAGTAGAACATCTCAAGTTGTCTTCTGTTTGTAACCACTTGCCTTAATACCATATGCATAGCCCCTGTGCTGTGGAACGTGACATACTTGCAGGCTCTGCGACCAAGTGCAGAGACCTGTAAGGCCATTCATTGTCCAGTGAAAAAAGGGTCTTCAGGCCCCAAGGACTGATACCAACTTTGTTCTGAAGGCTGTGTGTGGTGTCAGAGACTTGAGGACACAGCAAGGTGAGATACATAGCTTAGCCCTCAAGGAGGCAGGTAGGACATGGGGGATGCAGGAGAAACGGAGTTTTCTATGTGACTGGTGGGCTGCCTTCCTGAAGTCAGAGGGGAAATGGGAACATAGAGAATTGCTGCGGACTATTCTTGTACACTGTGTAAGTTATGCTCTGATTGGTTTAATAAAGAAGCTGACTGACCAATAGCCATAAAGGATAAGGTTAGGCAGAAAAACCAAACTAAGGAAGGTAAAAAGAAGGGCAGAGTCAAGGAGATGCAAGCCAGCTGCTGAGAGAACAAGATGGGCTAGAGGACAGGTAAAAGGCTACAAGACATGTGGCAAAACATAGACAGAAATATGGGTTAATTTAAATGTAAGAGTTAGGTAGTAATAAGCCTCAGCTATTGGTAGAGCATTAATAATTAATAATTAATATAAGCAGCTATGGGACGGGGCAGGACAGAGAAACTTCTGTTTACAGAGAATGATGCAATCAATGCCTGGCCATCTCTGTCCTGCTTTCTCTCCTATAGACAAGACACAACATGAATCTTCTGTGTGGTCATGGGCTTGAGAGAGTCAAGTGCATTATTAGTAACAGACTTCTGAGCCATTGTAGGTAGAACAGGTAGAAGGAGGTGACAGGGACATGATGGAGGAGGAGACAGCAAAAGATTTTGAGGTCCGGGTCCAGCAAAGGGTGATCACCCCCTTATGTGTGTGCCCTTCCTGTGCTAAAATGTTCCTTCTGAAAACTCCTGAATTCTTCTGGCTGACCAGGAAGGACACTGCCACCCCTTTCTGGATGTGTACCTCACCTGAGTGTCCCAATCTGCCCTATTCATATACTGGGTCCTCATGAATGAAGCTCACCCACTCACCATGTGGCTGGGTGCAGTTTGTGCCTGATGCTTGTGGCTAAATGGAGAGGAAGTAAAGATGCCCATGGGGCCCTGACAGAGCCAAGCCTTATGATCTCCTGGAGTTCTTCCCAGTGCTTCCCAGAGAAATCATTGTCCAGTGAGAAAGAGTCCAGACATCCTGGAAAGAGCTAACAGAAGTCCCCAAATTTCTGGGCTGTTTGCCCAGGTACAGGCAGTAAAAGACTAGTCCATGGACTTGAGGCACCCATCCTGAGCTTCCAGGAAAGTCTGTGCCTTCACCTGTTCCAGAGAGGAAGCCTGGAATATGGCCATGGGCCAAATCCCAGTTTATACCTGCAGACGATTGAGGCAGGGCCTCACTGGGTAGTCTGTCTGCACCCAGAGGAAGTGGGAGACCCAGTCACTGAGGCCAGTCACACTCAGAGGGAGTGGAGACAGAGTCACTGAGGCCAGTGTTCACACCTACAGGTTCAACCCTAAGAAAACAGCTGGGCGGGTCTTAGCAGCAGGGCTGAGCTTCCTTACTATGCCATACTCAGCAGCAGGGGACAGGCTGTCCCAGGTCATTTCCCAAAGACAGAAAATGGGAGCCCATGTGCCTATGTTCCAGCCTCTGTATTTACAGTTACCCTGCTGTGTAAACTGGAGCCCTTCCTGGGCTTTGTGAACTTGACAGTGACCTTGGGGACCAAGATACAGATGCAAAAATGAGGGCATTCAGGTCATGGGGTACTTAAAATACCAGGTGTGATATCAATGTCATGAGCCAGTGTTCCTGTCCACAACCTCAGAGAGTCACAGTATATGGCCTGAGTGGTCATGTGACCCCATGAAAACCCATGTATGCCTCAGAGACAGGCCTGCATGGAGCCCTCATGGAGAGGTGTGCCTCAGAGATGGTGGTGTGGGGGTCTAGGGCACATGCTCACCTGATGAGGGGCTTGAAGATGTTCCACAGCGCCTTGATGAAGCTGGTGGGGTGCACAACATAGAGTGCCTTCAGGTTCTTCTTGTACCTGAGGAGGGAAAGGTGAGGTGACTTTAGCTCCCCCAACTCCAGCTCACTCCACACTGAGTGCCTGCACAGAAGGCCCAGCTTCAGAAAATCCATTTCTCAACGGGCTCAACTAAAGGATGTGGATTAAAACCCAGAAAGAACTGGGTGTGGAGATGCACATTATTAATTCCAGCACTTGAGAGTCAGAGGCAGGTGGAGCTCTGTGAGTTCAAGGACAGCTTGGTCTATGTAGAGTTTCAGGCCAGCCAGGGCTACACAGTGAGACTCTGTCTCAAAAACAAAACAAAATCAGAGACCAGAAGAGGTATGGACTGGGAGATGGCTCAGTTGGTAAAATGCCTGGGAACCCCAGAACCCATATAAGAAAAGCTGGCGTGGTGGTGGGTGCTTATAATCTCAGTGCTAGGAAGGCAGAGGCAAGAGAATCTCTGGCTGGCCAGTCTTGCCTGATGGGCAAGTTCTAAGCAAATGAGAGACCCCGTCTCAACAAACAGGGTGGATGGTGCCTGAGAAAGAATGATGGCTGAGGTTACCCTGTGGCTTACACAACACACACACACACACACACACACACACACACACACACTCACATACACTCACATACACATACACTCACACATACTCACACACACCACACACACTCACAACACACACACACTCACTTACACACACATACACACTCACCCACTCACACATACACTTACAACACACACACACACAACACACACACAATACACACTCACAACACATACACTCGCAACACACCACACACATTCACTCACACACACATACACACTCACAACACACACACTCACAACATGCACACACTCACACACTCACAACACACACACACTCACACACTCACACACACACACCATAGACAGTATTTAAACTTAGAAACTCTGATCCATCTACCCTGGCCCACCCACTACTAGTCTACACTGCATGTGTGTGAGGTGATGTGTGTGACGTGGAGCCTGTGGCTGAGGAGACTCTCATAGATGCTGGGTAGAGGGCATGGAGCACAGCCCTAAATCCAGATGACCTGGCTTTAGCTTTCGGAATTAAACCTGCCCAGAGGGCTCACCAGTAGTGATATCTTGTGGGTAGTGTGTATAAGGCCATGGAGTGGAGGGGCAGGATTTACTCCAGAGATCATTGGGAGGGGCCCTAGCCAGCCTGAGGGCCAGGTTGTTAAACTGCAACATCACTCCAGGGTGCTAGGACGGGTTGGGGGTTGGAGGTGAGTCTGACTTAGGTCTCTCAGGACAGGGATCAAAGCTCAGACAAAGAAAGCATCTAAGCAGAGGACTGAGGTGGCCCCGCATGGGACAACAGAGCAGAGTGGTTAAAGACATCTGGGGGTAAGGAAGCCAGGCCGGAAGAGGAGGGGCTGCATTAGGGAGAAGTAAAGCCAGAGTGGAGAGCTGGAGTGAGTGCACAGAGGAATGGGTGTTCGGCTACCATGAACTCACACTGTCAACTCATGAGGCTGACCAGAGATGTGACAGCCGTAAGCAACACAGGTGGTAGGGCCTCTAAATACACAGTCCTCGGGAAGGAGGCAGGGTCCTGGGAGAAAGGACAGGTTCTAGGCCTGGGCTCAAGGGGGAAGGAATCCTGGAGAGAGTGATGGGGTGAGACAGGACCCTGAGCCAGGCTGAGCGGCAACAGGAAGACAAATTGGTATTATGTGAGCAATAAATGATACAGTAGTAAGGGGCAATACTAAAGGAAGTCACCCCTCCAAAATGGAGGTCATAAGACGGGTTTCAAGAAATCTGCTGCTGTGGAATTCCAAAAAATAGCTAACCCCCACTATACACCCTGGAGCTCAGGGGTCACAGAAACAGACAACTTGCCTCCTCTTTCACCCTGCAGCGGGAAGGTCAGAAGGTGGCAAAAAATGGGCAGTCTAACTGATCTCCTACCTCACCATTTAGAAAAACAGTTTATCAGGCAAAAAACACCACCACAGTTTCTGGGACGGGAAAAGCCAGACCCTCTCCACTCCCTACTCTCTACAAAAACTGATTTTCAGATCCTGAATAGTGCATTCTGCTATACCCTTGGAGACCGAGCCACAGGCGTGAGGATGCCAACCTCAGATCAGGCAAGTCTGCTCCTGTCGTTTCAAGGTCGAAGTGAGTTTATTCATTCATCTTCCTCCCACTGACTTGTTTCTTACACGTACCCTACTGAATAACACACCAAGTCACGTGTCCCTGTTGATGTAAGTGAGAGGAGGG